CTGGCAGCAACTGGTGCGAGCCGGGTTTCCTCCCCCATACGTTTCGGAACCTCCCATATCCGAAACAGCGAAAGGCAGCTTTTGTGTGTAAGACCTAAACCCTAAATCCTAAACCCTAAACCCTAAACCCTAAACCCTAAACCCTAAACCCTAAACCCTAAACCCTAAACCCTAAAGCCGAACCCCCAGTTCCCAAGGAAGTCTGCTTGCCCTCCCCGTGCGACTTTGCTGTAAGGGGTTTATACCGGTTCTTGTAAGGGTTCCTCTAAGGGGTCTATACCACAATACGCGGTTTAGTAGGGCGCCTGAATAGGCGGCCCTAGATTATGGCTAAGGAATAGAATTAAGGCAGTGAAGGGTAATTTCTTAGCTGTATTCTAGGGTCCCTGATTCAGGAGCCGCACTAAATTTCTTGCAGACACCCGTACAGGAGACCTTTAGGTATCGACCCTCTCAAAGGAGCGCGTGCAGTAGTCCCATAAGTTGTAAAACCTAAACCCTAAACCCTAAACCCCAAACCCCAAACCCTAACACCTAAACTCTAAGCCTCAAACCCTAAACCCTAAACCCCAAACCCTAAGCCCTAAACTCCTGAAGCCCTAAACCCTGAGCTTTCATGTGACTTCGAGGCAGAGCTGGCTGAGTTCCATGCGCAAAGGCAGCGCGAGCTGGAGGCATGTCGGGATTTTCCGCAAATTGGGGCACCTTATTTTGGGGTCCGTAATAATAAGGAACCTGTTATTTAGGGTACTATATTAGGGTCCCCTATTTTTGGAAACCCCCATGTAGGGTTTAAGGTTGAGGGTTCCCAGGTTTCAGAGTTTCAGGGCTTTGGGTTTAGGGTTTAGGGTTAAGGTTGAGGGTTTAGGTTACAGGGTTTCAGGGTTTAGGGTTGGGGGCTTAAATGTATAATGTTGCTGTACACAGAATTTCTCTGGTCCCTGTACCGTTTTCTGCATATTTCTGTGGGATCTTGCCTCTTTCGGGGAGTCCGTCTTATCCGGCCTTAGGTGACGATCTGTCATCGCTTCTTGGGATCGTGGGTCGTGTAAGGTGGTATGCGTGCATTAGACGGAGCAGCGGTGGTGGTAGTGTTGGTAGTAGTAGTCGTAGCAGTAGTGGTATCATTATTCTTATTATTAGTAGTAGTAGAAGTAGCAGTAGTAGAAATGTAACGTAGTAGACATAAGACGAGTAGTTGTGGTAGCAATAATCGTTGTCGTAGTGGTTGCCGCAGAGGTACCAGCTACCAGTAAACAGGATGTAATGCACAGGGGATCTTTCAGACAGTTTAATTATGGCCCAATGACGGAGCAATCAGTCAGAGTAGAAGTTGTACAAGAAGGGTGATTTCGATCATAACGGAGATGGGCTAAAAGTCGCAGATTAGGAACAGTAGCGGAGCAAGATAGTAGTAGCGGCAGTAGTAGTAGTAGTAGTAGTAGTAGTAGTAGTAGTAGTAGCAGTAGCAGTAGCAGTAGCAGTAGTAACAGCAGCAGTAG